AAGCAGCAACAACAACAACAACAACAGCATCAAGTCTTTATCCCACTATGTGGGGTCGGCTACATGAATCCTTTTTCTCCATTGTGTTCTATTAAAAGTCAAATTCTTGTTTAAATCTAATAAAGAAAGGTCATTCCTAATATTTTCTAACCAAGTCTTTTTAGGTCTACCCCTACCTTTCTTAATATAAGTCAAATCTAATACCTCTACTCTCCTAACCGGGTCATCGAAAGGCCGTCGTTTTATGTGGCCAAACCATCTAAGGCGACTCTCTCTAATTTTATCTTCTACTGGAGCTACTCCAACCTTTTCACGTATATGCTCATTTCGTATCTTATCTCTAAGGGTAAAGCCACTCATCCACCTGAGCATCCTCATCTCTGTCACACTTAACTTAGTATTATGCTTCTCTTTTAATGGCCAACATTCGGCACCATAAAGCATTGCAGGCCTCACTACCATCTTATAGAATTTTCCCTTAAGTTTGAGGGGTACATTTCTATCACATAACAAGCCCGATGCATTCCTCCACTTCAACCATCCAACTTGAATTCTGCTGATAATATCCCCATCTATTTCACCATCACTCTGAACAATAGATCCAAGATATCTAAAACGTGTACTCTTATTAATGACTTGATCGCCCAAAGTCACAATCCCCTCACTAGGACTATTACTGCTAAAATTACACTCCATATATTCCGTTTTAGATCTACTCAATCGAAAACCTTTAGCCTCTAAGGTTGACCTCCATAATTCAAGTTTACCTTCAACTCCCTCTCTAGTCTTATCAACAAGAAGAATATCATCAGCAAAAAGCATACACCAAGGTACATCATCTTGCAAATGTCTAGTGAGAACATCCATGACTAAAGCAAATAGATATGGGCTTAAGGCTGATCCTTGATGTAACCCAACCGAAATAGGGAAATACTTGGTCAATCCACCTTGTGTTTGAACACAAGTAATAGCTCCTGCATACATATCTTTAATGATTTGAATATAAGCATTATTGACTCCTTTCTTTTCAAGAACTCTTCATAGCACTTCTCTTGGAACTTTATCATATGCTTTTTCTAAATCAATAAATATCATATGTAGATCCTCCTTATTTTCTCTATATTTCTCCATCAAACCTCTTAATAAATGTATGGCTTCCATAGTCGACCTACCCGGCATGAATCCAAATTGATTTTGAGAAACATTAGTATTACGCCGCAACCTATGCTCCATAACTTGCTCCCATAGTTTTAAAGTATGACACATTAACTTAATAC